GCGGGAGCGTCGGAGGCGAGGTCCAGGCGTCCACCGCTTCCAGGCTCTGCCCCGACGACTGGCCCGCGGAGGCCCGGGCCCCGCAGGCGCCCGCCGCGGACCGGAGCGGTTCCCTCCGCTCGCTGCGTCCGAGAAACACACACACCTGCAGCCGCGTCTGCTCGCAGCTGCTTCTGGCGGTTCCAGCCCTGCTCCCTTGCTGGCCTTGCCTGGGGACCCTCGAGGAACGTTTCTCAGAGGTGGAGGCGCTTAAATATGTAGAAGGCAAAGTGGACAAGACTAGGGTAGCTTTTGAAGAACTGTGGGTTTGTCTTTACAGACGTTTGTGGCCAGCCAGCCTATGGCTTTTGTGTTCTCCCAACTAGAGAGCCATCACACAGGGTCTAAAAATTGGGCCAAAAGGGAAGTTCTTGCCATCAGTGCAGCTGTTGTGCTGTTGTTTTGATCAGTATCTTCCTCGCCCACCCCTGTTTCGGTAACAGAAGGATGGCGCTAAATATCACATGCTAAGCGATTTAAAAGAACACAAGAGTCTACGGTGACAGTTCACGGGTGCCCTGGTGGTGGTAAATGTATAAGGAGAACACCTGAGTGAAGAATCAAACATTGTACAAAAATGAACATCGATGTAAAATTATATAAATAAATGTTTAAAAAAGACACATTTTACTGCTTGGGATAGATAAGTTATAGCATTTTTAAAAAACGATTTATTTATTTATTCATACAGAACTGGGGTATAGGCCAGAGATGCGGAGGGTGAGAGGATTCACCAGAGACAGAATGGGGAGCAGAACAGGCAGATCAATGAAGTACACTGCTGAGGGGAGCAGCGGGCGGGTCAGGAGAGGTCTGCCGCGCCATGTGGTCACCTCCGGGGCTGGCAGGTATCAGCTCCTGCGGAAGTGTCTCTAGCTTCTTAGTGCTGAGCTTTAACCCGCTGCGCCACCAGTAAGGGCCCGCATTTTTTTTTTTTTCCAAAGGAAATTCACAGAGAAAGACAGGATAAGAACTTGGAGCCATTGATTCTCAAATTTGAGCCTATGGGTTTGGTAAAACAGACTACTGGGCCTGCCCCCAGGGTGGGGGTTTCTGAGTCAGAAGATCTGGAAGGGAGCCAGGTAACTTGCCTTTGATTGAGTTCCCAGGTGAGCTGAAACTACTGGTTGAGGAGTTTGGTGGTTTGAATTAGCATTTGCTTCTCAAACCTCAAAGTTCATTTGCGTGATCTAAGACCTTGTAAAAGTGCACGTTCTGCTTGTATACATCTGAAGTGGGGACCAAGACTCAGAAGTTCAAATAATTTCCCAGGAGCGGTGAATGCTGCTGTGGACCACACTTGAGTTCCAGGGGTTCAGGTGAGCAGTCAGTGGTTTCCACATCCCCGTGGCCACTTGCCTTGTGCTGTCTGAGTGTGGGTTTCTTTCGGAATCATGAGTCGAATTCTCACAGCCCCCACTCTATGGCATGGAGGCCAGTCCTCCAGAGATGATTTGGTGGCGAGAGTGCACTCTGGTGAGTGGGATTAGTGTGCTTATAGGAGGCTTCAGAGAGCACCCCTTGCCTCTGCCTGTGAGGACTCAGCAACAAGACAAGCACCCTGAGACAGGAAGTGAGTCCCACCAGCCACCAAATCTGCTGGTGCTTTGATCTTGGACTTCTGAGACTCAGACCTGGAGGACATGGGTGCTTGTTCACTAAGACACTTACCAGAGCTCCGTTTTTGAGAGAAATTTTTGACACATCTCATTGTTTTCCTAGGATCAAACTCAGGCTGTACCTGTGATAGCACTGAGATGTAACCACTTGGCCACCAGAGAGGACCTCAGATTCACTTATTTTATGTACTTTTCACTTTAGCATTAATATTGTACTCACACACACACAAAAAAAGTTAGATTTCTAGTTTGAAAAATAGTGTGGAGTCCCTGCGTACCTGATACCCAAGGCCCCTTTGTTAATATCTTCAGTTAGCATGGTACATTCACCATTATTAATGAACCCAGAGAGAAACAATAACCAAAGTCCATTCAGCTGTCCTTATTTGAGCTTGCATGCTTTTCCTGTTCGGGAATCCTGTCTGGAATACTTACATTTAGAGCACATATTCCTTCAGCCCCATTCAGCTGTGACAGTTTCTAAGTCTTCCTGCATTTCTGATGACTTTCCCAAGTTTGAGGAGTAGTGCCTGGCTCTTTTATAGAATGCTCCTCTCTGTGACTGTCTGATGGGCCTCTTGTCATTAAATCAGAATTATAGGGTTGGGGGAGGATGACCACAGAGGTGAAGTGTCTCTCAACTCACATCAGGTTATGTCCAATAAACCTTACTCAGCTGCATTGATGTTAATCTTGGTCACGTGGCCGAGGAAATGTTTGGTCAGATTCCTCCACTGCTGAGTTACTTGGTTACTGGTTAACCCCCACCAGCTCGGCTCTTTCCATTTTGTTCTCGCTGGGATGAACTCATGTGAAAGCTGACACTTACTGAGTGGAGAGTTGTCCTCCACCTCCCTGAGGGAAGAAGCCATGACATGACTATTGGAAATTCTTCTGTGTGATAGCTTTGTCTAGTCTTTCCCATTTACTTTCTTTTCAATTATTTATTTGTGTCAGTTTATCTACAGTTGCTACACGGGTAATTCTGGACTTACACAACAGGATAGGAAGTGTTCCCTCTACTTCTATTTTCTGTAAGATAATGGGCACGTGCTATTATTTCTTCCTTAAACAGTTTGTATAATTTGTCAGTGAAAGTACATGAGTTTGGGGCTTTGTTTTTTGGAAGATTTTTTTTTTAACTGTTGACAACTTTTTATTTTCTTTTTTAGCCTATCAACTTTATTCAGGTATAATTTATAAGAATTAAAATGCATTAATTTTGGATCCTCCCTGGTGGTGCAGCAGGTTAAAGCACAGCACTAAGGAGCTAAAGCCACTTCAGCATGAGCTCGATCCCTGACCCAGAGGTGACCCACATGGCGCCACAGGCCTCTCCTGACCCTCCCGCTGTTCCCCTCCACAGTATGCTTGGACAGTTGGCCTCTTCTTCTCCCCACTCTGTCTCTGGTGAATCCTCTCACTGCCCTTGTACCTCTGGCCTATACCCCAGTTCTGTATGTATAAATAAATAATTCTTTTAAAAATTGCACTCATTTTAAAATGTACAGTTCAACAAATTTTGGCAAATGTTATACACTTGGGTGACCATCACTACTCAAAAATTTTTAATTATTTATTTATACATACAGGAACTGGGGTACAAGCCAGTGGTGCAGGGGACAATGAGAGGCTTCACCACAGAATGGAGAGAACAGGCAGATCTACTGAAATACATGGATGAGGGGAGCAGTAAGTGGTCAGGAGGTGTCTGCTGTGCTGTGTGGGTCAGCTCCCTGGCTGGGGATCAAACTGATGCTACAGTGGCTGCAGATAACTTCATAGCACTTTGTTTGAACCGGATGCATCGCCAGGGAGGGCCACTACTCAAATTCTGTAGTAGATTTGTGGGCTATCTAGTTTTGTGAGAATTTTGATAGTTTGTGTCTTTTAAGAAATTGGCTATCCCATCAATGGCATCAGATGTATGATTTAGTGTTCTTAGTATTACTTTCTTTTCTTTGTCATGGACTCTGTTGTAATGAGTTCTCTTTCACATAAGTGATGCCTTACAGTATGTGTCTTTCTTTGTTTCTGTTAGTTCACTTAAGATTATGACCATGAGGTCCCTTCATGGTTTTGAAAATAGCAAATAGCAGGATTTCCTTCTCATGACTGAATATATATATATATATATATATATATATATATATATGCACACACTTTATACACACACACACATATACACATATATATACACACATGCATATATGTATCACAGTTTTATCCACTTATTGATAAGCACTTCAGTTGTGTACACATCTGGGATGTTGTTTCCATATTTTGACTATTATAAATGATATTGTAATAAATATAGGAGTGCAGAAATCTCTTTGAATATCTTGTTTTCATTTAATTTCCTTTGAAAATATACCCAGAATGGGATTGCTGGCTCATACAGTATTTCTATTTCCAACAGCCCTACTATAGAACATGACAGAAGAGGATATGTTTTTTGATTTTAGGATGATAGAGTTTTTTTTAAGAAGTCACAAGAACCACCAGTTTTAAAGAAAATATGCCTAATTGGACAAAATAAAATATTTTCATTTAAAAAGGTCAGTAGAAAAGTGAAAAGGTAGCATAGGGAAATATATTCCTACACATGTAAAAGCAAAGAGTTCAAAGTTGGAACATATAAGTACTTTATCAAATTCAGTTAGAAATGACATAAAAACATATAAACATGGGAGGAAAAGACTTAAAAAATTACTACACAAGAAGATCCAAATAACAGCAAGCATGTAACATGACCAGCCTCGTTAGTTATCGGGGAAATTCTAATTTAAACCACAAATTAATGCCTTTTCATATCTTCTAGACTGGCTAAAATTAAAAAGCAATAACAGTATCAATTGTTGACAAAGATGCGTAACAATTAGAGCTCATATACACAATAGGTGGGAAAGTGAGTTTGTACTACTACTTGGGAGAATTGCTATTATCCACTAAAGCTGAAGATAACACTTCCACTCATATGTATATTGTTATATGTACTGAAAAGCATGCATTAAAAATTTTATAGTAGCCTCACATGTTAATAATAAGTGGTAGATACACTTTGTATCTAGTCCTGAAATATATTTTGTGGCAACGAAGAGACCAATTATAGTTACAGAGTACAACATGGAGTAATCTCACAAACATATGGAGAAAAAGAAACCAACCCAATATAATTCATATAGTTCAATTCCAATTATATGAAATGGCAAGACTAACCTATAATAATAGCATTAGGTATAGTGTTTATCATGGCAGTATTTAGAAATGAACATGATTGTATATACCAAGGCCCTGGCAATGTTAGATATGTATACCTAGAATCTAGAACTTAGATGATGGTTGTATTGAAGATGTTGTTTTGCAATGATTCACTAAGTTAAGCTCTTATGGCATTTATTTTTCTCTGAGTTGCTACTGAAAAAGTTACTTAAAAAATTAGAAAAATATACACTTCTTAAATGTGCACATATGAATGACCAAATAAACACATGAATGTTTTCAAACCAACAGTAATAGCAGCGGGAAAAAAAAAAAAAAATCTAAATTAAGTTATTCACAACTCTCACAGTGATCCAGAATATAACATAATTAAGTGCTACTGACAACTGAAGAAATTACCATTTTCATAACTGTTCATAGGAATGCAAACTTTCTAGAATGTTTTCTAGATCATTTTGGCAATGTTTGGTGAGTTTGTATGTGTACAGATGTACTAGTCAGAGTTCTCCTGAAAAACAGAAACAATAGGCTGTATCAGTGAATAAATAGATAGGTTGAGATATATGAGAGACTCTAAATTTGGCTCACATCATCCATAGTAAAGGCTGAGAAATCCAAAATTTCTGGGTAAACTAGCAGATTAGAAACCTGGGAAAGAGATAATGTTTCAAGTCTGAAGAATATCTGTTAACAGAATTCCCTCTTTTTTGGGGGGGAGTCAGTCTTTTTTAATACTTAAATAGTATGGAGGATGCCCACCGACATTGTGAAGGGTAACTTGCTTTACTCAAAGCCTACTGATTTGAATGTAAATCTCATCTAGAAAATGCTTCCACTGCAGCATCCAGAGGTGTGCGACCAGTATCTTTGGTCAAGGAAAGTTGAATCATAAAATAATCTGTTGCATTAAGTAATCTGAATCTATGTTATAAACAGAAACAGCTAAACAAAATCCAGTCTTTCCAAAAGCTTGCAAGACATCATGTACAAAATAATTACTGTATTATTAATGGTATAAGGAAGAAATAGGAAAAGGTTGATTGTCTCTTAATCAAGAGGAATGAGTAAATAAATGGGGTATTATATAGTGAGAGAAACCATAAGATATTAAATGAAATATTGCATAAATACATGGAAGAGTCTCAACATGTATAATGTTAGGTGAATAAAGTAGATTTTTAGACTATATAGAAAACCTATGGGATGCGATGACATTTTTAAATTACTCTGATTTCTTTCTTAATTTGTGAGTTCCTTTTCATTCCCCTTAACTCCCTTTCCCCATCAGTGTTTCCGTTACTTTCCAAGTAAATTACTTACACTTGAAACATTATCTTTGAATTAGCTTCTGAGGAAATCTAAACTGAAACATGTGGGATGCCTAACTGTAAGATGAATGAAATGTTTTCATATATGTGCAAATGAATTTCATGTAAACCACATCCTTCAGAGGGATCCTGCTTTTTCTTATAAATAACAATATTTTACTTCAGTTTTTCTTCATATTATGTTTCTTCTGAAATCTTACCCAAACATTACTAAAATGAACTACAAAATCCCTCATAAGATAGTCAGTATCAGGTAAATATTAGCACATTTCTCTTGTGTCTCTTACTATCTGTCTTTAATTTGAACCGTAAGTTCTAAGACTTGTTGTAAAGCTATTGTTCTGGAAATTTCCTCTACTCTCATTCTGGATTTTTTTCCATTTATCGTGTATTAGAGATCCAACTTCTTGATTCCCAAATCTGACTCATCACTTTAGAACATATCTTTAATAACATTCCGAGAAAATGTACTTTAGAAGTAAATTTTTTAAAGATTTATTTATTTATGCATACAGAACTGGGGTACAGGCCAGAGGTGCAGGGGCAATGAGAGGATTCACCAGAAACAGAGCAGGGAGCAGAAAAGGCTGACTGACAAAATACACTGCTGACGGGAGCAGCGGGCAGGTCAGGAGAGGTCTGCCGTGCTATGTGAGTCAGCTATGGAGCAGGCGGGGATCGAACTCACGCTGAAGTGGCTTTAGCTTCTTCTTGCTGTCCTTTAACCTGCTGTGCCACCAGGGAGGGCCAGAAGTAAATAATTTTGAGG